ATTAGCATGCTAATATTAGTAGTAATTTATTTCATTACATTATGAAATATACTATTAACATTGTAGTATACTTTTTAAGCATTCAGGTTTAATTTTTACACAGCTATGAATAATATGTAATAAGAGAGCCAGCACAGGACCCTGTAACTGCAGCAGCTTGTCCACATGTGGCACATGCATCGTACAGTCAGAAAAGCAGGAACATCTGAGGTGGTAAGACACATAAATATCACAATATGTCATTTTTGTCATTGGTTCATGCACACAATGTGGCATGAAGGAGACAAGCTGCCAACAGGAGAAACATTCTGGCTATCCTATTACAAAATGAAGACCATGTAAATAGGACACATTCAATATTTGTAAGGGTAAACTGGGATTATGTAAGGAAGTTAATGTAAGCTCCTCACCTCAAATATTGAAGGTATATACACTCAGATAAGTCAATAAATACTATTGTGTGACATGTTTATTAGTAACCACTTCATTTCTTAACACTGAATTAAATTCAAACAGTGAATTTCACAGCAAACTGACAACAGTATTATATCAGTAACCAAAAAACACTTCATGAATGATAAAACACTTTTCACTTTGGAAACACAAGTTCAGACACCTGAAACATCCTGTCCCTACTCAGCGTGGACTGTGAGGACAATACCTCTAATTGAACGGCCACAGCGCTACTGTCCGCCTCTACCTGGGAGATGGAGAACTAAAGAAAGACTTCAGTCTGTCAAGGCAGACAGTGAAGGCCTTGGTGGAGTGTCTGGGATACACCAAGGACCATGGCTGGAGCAAAGACCTCGAAGTGGGATATATTTATACTGGCTGGCCAGTGCCACCTCGTATCGGGTGGTGTCAGGAGCCTTTGATGTCCCCATCACCACGGTTCATGATGTTGTTCATCGAGTCGCTGGAAGTATCATCAGCATCATGAAGAGGGTGGTTCATCTCCCTGCTGCTGATGAGCTAGAGGGAATAGGGGAAGGCTTTGCCCACCTGGCTGGCTCTCATGCCTTCTGCAGAGCGGCTGGCAGCATTGATGGGACACACATTAGAATCAAGCCACCTGCAGCAAACAAAGAAGACTACCTTAACAGGTAACCTGCGTACAAAATACCACTTCATATAAACCTGTTTTTAATCCCATATCAATGTGAGTGGTTATCAATTCCATTTTGTGTTGTTCAACAGGAAGCTCTTCCATTCAGCTGCTGGTGGTGTGTGATCACAAAGGCCGCTTCCTTAATACATATACAGGTAGAAATGAAAGTCAGAAATGTATTAGTACAGCTTCCACTGCTTAAGGGATTGTTGATCTAATAAATAATTCAGTCATCAGTTACTGACATTAATACCTCTGGAAGGTTGGGTTAACTTTTTAAGTTTCTCAGGAAAAGGGTGTTGCAGTCATCTCACATACAATGAAAGTGAATGTGGACCAGGACTCACACTTACTGTGATTTGTATTTGTCACCCAACAACTGCAACGTCATTATGTTCATGTGTGAATTTCTACTTATCTCATGATTGTAAACATTGTAATTACTTTAAAAGATGTTGTATAATCACAATTGAATTTGTGATGTCACATTTCTGAAGTGTTTGAGACGAGCATTTTCAACATAATGTGTCCTGTACCATGTCAAGTACAATGACATATTCACAATACATCACCCTTGTTCACAGGACTTCCAGGCTCTGTCCACGATGCCAGGGTCCTGCAGTGGAGTTCTCTGTACGTACACCAACTCTACCCCCCTCATGGCTGGTGTATTGTTGGGGATGGGGGTATCCCTGCCTGGCTGCACCAATCAGCTTGATGACCCCATTCAGGGAGCCGGTGCAAAACCCTGTTCATGTACGATACAACCGGCATCATGCCAAAGCACGGTGTGTGGTGGAAAGGGCGATTGGCATGATGAAGACGCGGTGGCGCAGCATCTTCCTCAAGGCCCTGGAGGTGAGAGACAGCATTAATGTGTAAATCTAAGTACACACTAGTTGAATAGGTGCTGAGCAGTGGCTATTAAATATAAGCAGCAAAGTAATACAGGTATGGACATTCTGAGACAATAATGAAAACAAAAGAGCAGCGTAATGCGAGCTATTCAATCATGTTTACTTTCATTATACAGCTACATTAAACTTGTATTTTTTCCTGTAGATCAAGCCAACCTTTGTTCCTGCAGTGGTGTCGACCTGTGTCTTCCTCCACAACCTCTCCATCAACAATGGGGATTTGGTGGAGCCAGAGGTGGAGGAGGGGGCCTTCCATGACCAGGGTGATGACCACTGGGACCACCCTGATGATGCCAGGAGACAACATGAGGAACAGGCTGGCAGCAGAAGTTTTTGCACCTATTGGGGTCATCCAAGCACTGCAGGACCATAACTACTAACATATATATTTTCATTTCCACTACTTTTATTTATGGAGATTTAGGTTTTGTTTGTTCACAAATATAATTTTTCATGAGCATGCTCACATTGCATTTTCTGTTAATAAAAGTGCCTGTTTCACATTTTGCCTATTTGGATTTCACTTAGAAGTGTCTGTGTTTTAGTCGTTTCTGTACAGGGGAGGGAGGAGAGACCACCACTACATCCTGAAGAGTCAATGGTGACCGGACGTGTTATTGAAGGCCTCCGACCCAGTGCCTCGTCCATCAGGGCATACCATTTCCAGGATGCAGCGGTGGCCTCTCCTCCCTCCGTGTTCACTCCCGTTTTGGGGACACACACACACCACACAGACACACACAGACACACTTGTGTAAAGGCTACATTAAAGTCATTGCAGGTGATCTCACACCTTTGGAAGGCAGCAGCTTACTTATGCCTACCTTGTATTTTTGTTTGAGGTTCTCCCACTTGTGCTTGATCTTCCCCGCGTCCACTTTCCCCACCAGGGCACGCTCTCTAGGGGGCACTGGTATGATAGAACTGATCCAAAGGGCACAAGACCAAATTTGGACTCCACCATGGTGAGTTCCTCAAGTCCATGAAGAATCTTACAGATCCCCAGCTGTGGCTGAATGTCTTTCAATTTCTCTCCAACAGACATCACACCCGGGTCAGGAAGGGGCCCTACCACACAAGATTATATGAGGATTCATCGCTTATATTTTGTGTGTTTTTAATAGAACTGCCAACTTGCTCTTCCTTATAATCATAACCTCGTGTTGATTCCTGACCTGGGTCCGAGGCCTTTGCCAGGTCTGCAGTCTGTCAGTGCAAGACACATGTAATGGCACAATCTTGTAGTTCGAGGTGCTGAAACGGGCACTTAGATAAAGAAGCCCCACCAAGTGGTTCCAAAGGGCTCTCCCTGCAGCACAGGAACAAGATGTGGACCTTATCACTATGGGAACCTTGGCAGCTTCCAATGTGATCTGTTAGGGGAAGTAACAAAAACAATTACAGGTTTTCACAACCAAGAAGATTACTATTACAACACATCATAGAATATGATAGGATACAATAAATATGCTCTTAATTTAATATTCATTTGGTGTCTCATGATGCCTTGGTCAGGAGTAATGGCAGGAGTATGTACCAAACATACATGTGTTTTTAGATTTTTGAAATGTAGATTAAGGTCAGTAACAGGTTTACCTTAGATCAAGAAATACTCAAGAACATACGAATTGTGTGGAGTGATTTTCATTTGAACTTTGACTACAGACAGGCAACATCAGACAGCAAGAACAGCAACCTAAAATGATTTTAACATGGAAACAACAGACTGCAACTGTAGTAAAGTTACCTTGATGACACTTTAACAGTCACAACAGACTGTAGTAAAGTTACCTTGATGACACTTTAACAGTCACAACAGACTGTAGTAAAGTTACCTTGATGACACTTTAACAGTCACATCAGACTGTAGTAAAGTTACCTTGATGACACTTTAACAGTCACAACAGACTGTAGTAAAGTTACCTTGATGACACTTTAACAGTCACATCAGACTGTAGTAAAGTTACCTTGATGACACTTTAACAGTCACATCAGACTGTAGTAAAGTTACCTTACCTACTTCAACCAATAATGATTCACGTAATATTACTTTATAACATACCTTAGTTAATATAATCATATTATCATTCGGTGATCTTATTTTTTTAAGATATAGCCTATGAAACAACAATATATATAAATCTATTGTTCAACAAGTTTGAGGACTTACGGGAACTACAAGTCCAGGAAAAAAGAAAGATTGAAAGAAAGATTCTTAAAGCACACCAAGCACTTCACCTTCAAATCAAAATAATAAGCCATCGATAATAAACACAAAAAAATGATGATAGTGACAGAAACAGTAACAACTAATATGAGAGATTCAGCGCTTCAGTACATGAAAGCTTTGTAGCTTAATGGTGGCAAGTTGCGAATAGCTGTAACAGAAAATCAGCCAATAGGATTAAAGTATCTTTTTGTTTTTTTCCAAGGTGTTCGAATGCTGTCTTAGTGCAGGTTCAAATCCCCACTGAGACAAATCTGAGATGTGATTTAGGCTATGATTGTAATTCGTTGACATACTTCAGGAGTCAGTTATTGGCAACTGCACATGGGAAATTCGATTGTGATGAAACACATTGTTTAATATTGACTTTAATAGATTCCCTTTGTTGTTACCTTGTTTATTGAGAGTGAAGTACCTGAAGTACATGTATAAATCATTTTAGTTTAAAAATCTAATTTACTACTATTTACTAAGATCTGAATATGTCATTGATTTCCTTGTTTTGTGTACAGATTAAATCATGCACACCTTCTAAAAAGTAATATAAAAGTTTGAAACCGCATTAAAATGTCCATGTTGGTGAACTGGCAGCAGTACATCTTAGCATATTTATTCAGACCCCATAAAGCATATGAGACAGAAGGTTTTGTATATAAATGGCACATTTAAGTTGAAAAGAAGCTATATTATTTTAATTCCAAGCAGTAGAAAAGACAATAAATTTCAATTTTTTCAAGAAAATAGTTTAATTTACAAGCAAGTTATAATGGATGGTGGGTGGAAGTAGGGTGGTATAAGATAAAAAGCAGCATCAGAACATTCAGTGAAAGTTATAAATACAAGGTTAATTTAACATTCTCTTAAACCAGTGAAAAAAAAACCAGAAAAAGTTTGGGAACCACTGTCTTAAACACAGAGATATAAGAGCAGTCCAATTTCAATATTTACAAGTAAACACTTTCATATTTATATATATATACATACATCTATTCAACAATATTTTTTTATTTACACAGAACAAAAAACAATAACTATATAAAAACTTTGAATAGTTTACTGTTTCCTTTCATCCACCCATCTTTGTCTCTCTGCCTCATAGAAAGGAGACGCATGAAACTCTTTCCAGCTCATCTCTCTGGCCATTCCCTTATTGCGGTACAAAGAGTATACTTTAGATGGGCAGTAGATGTATTTTCCTGCCACTCCTGGGAAGCCCGAATGGATGTGTGGGCTGTTCGGCCCCTGTTTCAGTTCCAGGTGACAGAATCTGCAGAGGCGGCCAGCTTGATGGGGGTCTGGCCGTTTCCTTTTTTTTTCCACTTTCTCTTCCACGCGTTTTTTGGTTTCCTCCAGCTCCCTCTGGAAGAAATATGTACTTGCAAACTGCTCAAAGGGCATCTGGGCATCTGAAAGTCCCTCAGCAGCATAACTTTGATGCACCTTCTTTGAACAATAGAAATAGTGCACAGGCCCCTGTTGGAAAAAATGGTGGATGGAGGATCCATCAGTCCTGTATCGAGACTTGGGCTGTCCACAGGCAAGACACGTCTTCGTCTGCCTTTTCTTCTGCTCTGGCTGGGGCTGCTGTTGTTGCTGTTGCTGCTGCTGCTGCTGCTTTTCCAAGATGCCCTCCACAATTTTCTCAAGGGAGTCTTGGGTTAGAGGTGTGGACTGGGCAGGTGTAGGGGGCTTGACAACAGCTGCCTCCATGGTGACCACAGGAACACTAGATGTGTCACTCCCCTCTGTTAAAGAGTGCCACAGCTGCTGAGTGTCCAGAAGTTTTTCCTGGCTTGTGTTTAAGGAGGAACTAGTGTTCAGAAGTTTTGCCAGATGCTTCACATAGCGAGATATGTGCAGCCTGGTTGTGGGGTGCAGCAAGCTGTTTGGATCTGTGGCTGACTGATGGACCATGTCTGCGTAATCTTGATCCACAAGCTTCAGGCGGTCCTTCTTTCCATGGTGCTTCTGCAGCAAACTGTCAATAGCCACTTTCATGGGTGCTGTCCAGCGTGTGTGGTCCAACACAAAAACTCTTCCGCCAGTTTTTATGGGTCCAGTGCGGGCACTCCTTGGTGAGGAACTCAGAGGCAGCGGCAGGGCATGTGAGATTTCTGGAACACATAAAGCAACAATAGTTCCTCAGTTGATAATGTTATTACAGTACAATATGATGCTAAATAATATGTCCAAATCATTATATTTACTTTATGTGAATATATGTTTACACATACTTGTTTTGACATATCTATTCTGTACATAGCTTTATTTATACAATATACTGATTGTTTTACTCATTGCTTTAAGTCTTATGTATAATTCTTATTTTACTCATATTTATATTCCTGTTTTTCCTACTGCTATATGGTGAGCAACTGTAATGTTCGAATTTCCTGTGGGGATTGATAAATTATTTCTGATTCTGACATACCCATTGCTGCTGGAGGATCCTGGACTTCTTCTGGAGGCATCTCCTGCTTTGGCAGTGCACCAGCAGAGAGTGGATGGCCGATTGATGGTGCTGGTCCAGGGAATGGCACGCCAGAGGGCAGTGTCCAACTGGAGGAGGGTGCCACGTCTGGAGCTTTATCTTCAGCAGGAGCAGCAGGTGTCTGCAGGGGGGGCGGAGGCATAAGAGCGGCAGGCTCATCTCTCTTTAGAGTTCTGTGTTTGTCCCAGTCCAGTGGAACTGGACGGCAGCCCGGCTCTCTGTACTGAAGGCCAAACCTCTCTCCAGTGTCCCTGTCTGAGAGGAGAAATGCAGCATACTTCTCCTGCCCTGTCACTCTCATGGAAGCAGCATTTAACTCGCACATTAAAGCTGGGTCAAAGACAGCAGGGAGGTTGACACCTGGCTGTTTAAGGTCCACCAGCCGCTGGTAGTTCCATCGTGCTACCCTGTCATGCCCTGGGCCTGGAACAATTCAGGGGAGACATGAGTGCCAGTGACCCAGTGAGCCTGGTGGAAATGGTACCCCTCTTGCTGTGATGTACCTCTGACAGGGATCCAGATTGGGACTTTGGCACCTTCACCAGGTACGTGGTTCAGCTGAAGAGTTCCTCCGTACCTGTACATTATGCCCTCGGAGAGTTCAGGGTCACTGAGGCACCCACGGAGAATGTGCACTCTCTGAATTCGCCATGTCTTCAGCATGGATGGCTTAAAGAGTGGGACATTGTTAGGGTCCGTCGCCAGGTGAAAGTGACTCAGGACTCTCTCCACTCTGTCCAGCAGCTCTGTTGGATGGGGTATTTTAATCCTGCAGTGCTCCCGTGTGTGTTGTTTAGTGGGATTGGCTGGATGAATACCACAGAACCTATAGGCATCCTGGAGCCTTTTTAGGTCTTCCTGATCTACAACACAGAAGGCAGCAGAGAGGAGCTGGCAGAAAGTGCTGAACAGAGGGTGATGCTCAGAGGTGCACTCCCGTGAAAAGCGCCTCAGACAGTGAAACAAGTCCAGTTTCACAACAATGTTGTCGTTATAATGTGATCGTGAGGCACAGGTGTTCAACTGCCTTCCGGAGGTCGCTCCAGCAACAATGGACGGGGTAGTCTTCCAGGCATCCCAGTGCAGATGTTCACCAAGGATGCAGTCAGGGATCTTAAATGCAGCACAGCAATCCCTAATGTAAGGCACAAAGACACAGAAGAATTAAAAAAAAACATTTAAGAAACTAAATTGAATTAAATATAAATAAATTATTTTTTTTAATTACAGAAAACTGTGCCAGTTTGAATGAGATTGAAAACAGAAGATGGCTGTGCTCACCTGTCCATCCAATGGTAGCCTGCCTTTTCCACTCCAGCATTGCTGTACCTCTTGGCCATCCCCTGGTACATTGCTCCAAGACCTCTCAGTCTCAGACTGAACCATCACCCAGGAAACAATGAGCCAGTGTTCATTCATTACAGCATAACTAGACATCACCCCAGAGGCCAAGGTCACCTTCCTTGCCACTTTCCTGGTGTGGTCAGACCTGAAAACATGCCCAAATGTTCCCTGCAGGAGCCTGGACATAGCTGGCTCTTGACGTCTAAACTCCTCTAGCAGGCAGTCAGTCAGGTAGAAACCGGACACAGAGACTCCACCCCAGCCATGTTGCTCGTCATATGGCCCAAAAGTGCGTGGCTGGTTGTCTTTCTTAGAAACTGCCCAATGGTCCTCTGACCATACACTCCAGCCTCACCATCTCTCACATTCTCTATGGCTTGAAGGTATGCCAGGTGAGCTCGCTCATACTTCAGGTGCATGAGCTCATTCACCTGGTTGGCCATATCAGTTGGTGACTTGCCAGTGCGCCTCAGCTCATCCATGACAGACTTACAAATGGCCTTCTTGTAAGTCAGGATTGCAGGCAGAAGGTTGGTGAAGCGCTTGGGCAGTTTCTCCAGCCATCGCGGACTGTCAGCGAACCAGTTCTTTCGGCAGACCTTGCAGCAGAGTCGCGAGGAGAGGATAAAATATTGGCCACTGGTGCCGACAATCACCCGAGGCCTGCCCACCCCTGCAGAGACCACCTGTGGATGAGGACAGCCATGGAGACAGGGCAGGATGTAATTGTTCCTCAACCTGACCATGATGTCACTCTCAGGTTTCCAAATGAAAAATGAGTGGAGCTGAAAGAAGTTGGGGGATGGGAGCTCAGCCACCGACTCTATCAGCTCAGGTTGTGGAGGAAGACGCCACAATGAAATTGTGTTCCCTGGATTACGCACTGGACGAGACCCAGGCCACAGCCCGAGATCCTGAAGCTCTGTCCTCATCCAGAGCTTCTGGTGCTGTGAACAGCTCCAGCTGCTCATGTCATGGTCATGCCCAGGCACAGGAACAGGAACAGGAACAGTAACAGGAACAGGAACAGGGGGCTGAGCTGAGTCAACGAGGGTTTAAAAAAAGAAAGACAATAGAACATAAATAATAATTATTATTATTTTGGTTCAGATAATTATTAAAGGTTGCATAGTTTAAAGCAGAATTAACAGAACATGTTAGTGTCAGGAGTCAGGAAAATGGAGGGAATGTTTACATTCTCTACGTTCTTACCATCTTCAGCACAGTCTTCAAGTCTATTTTCATTTTGTGCAGAGGTGCGAGCAGCACTTGTGCTGGGTTCTGAAAAAGGAGTGCAGTCTTTCTGTTATACATTTGTACAGGCTATAAACATAAAGACATGATGACAAAATATAAAGAGATTGTGAAAATCATACTCAGTGTTGGGCCACGCAGGCTTAGAACAGTCAAACAATGGACTTGGGCCTGCACCTCTGTAAAAGCCTCATTTGAGTTATTCACTGAGATCACAAAGAGGCCTAAAAGGACTCTTAATCCCAGAATCCCCTGCGGTACTTCACACCTACGTGTGAAGTAAAGGGGGGACCGGAACCTCTCTCTCCTCATTGGAGGGGACCTGAGGTAGACCCCCATGGAGCAGGCCAGGCTACAAAACTCCAAGACTTCCATTGCTCGCTCTCTTTCACGCGCTGACCTTCGGTGCTCGGAGACCCAAGAAGATCTCCTGTTTCCTGCAACAATCTTCCTTTGTTTTAAGTTTTGGCGCGCAGGTAATCCGCGGCCGGCAGTGTTCTAAATTCCGAGCTCGGATTGTCCAGTGAACGCATCTCAGTTTCTCGGAGAGCGTCAGACTATAACAGATTATCAGAAAGATAACGGTCTTATTCCGTCCTGCAACGAAAGGACATCAAAGGACATCTTTCCACTCGACGGAGAACCAACGAAGCCGCTCTCGCCGTAAGGGACCCTCGCCGCCATCAGACGCCTCTGCACCAGGACGGACAGAAGATCTGCTCCATCGCCGGACTCTTTTCCTTTCACCAATCGCGGGCAAAGCGATTCACAAGTGAGGCTTAATTAGGTCTGGGCAGAATTAGCTTTAGAGAGTGTTTTTAACAATTGTTGATCAAGTAGAAACTGTAATTTTTATCTTTGTTGGACCGCTGCGTCCTGAGTTTTAACTGTTTAAAACTCTTGTTGTTTCGGACCGCTGCGTCCTATATGTGTTTAGCGTAACAGCGTTATAACGGGTATTACTCTTCTGATCAGAAAGGCCAGTGTAAGCCGTATTAACTTGAATTCGGCTATTGGTTTGTTTCTGTGAATGAAGGGAATTACTCCGAGTTGTGGCGCGGGAGTCGGACTGTGATCCGCCTCTTCAGGCACGCATTTCTCTTTTATTCTTTTATTCCCCTTCTACGAACATACACATACACATATTCCGTGTAAACGTACATCTGGAGACCAACTCCACACCGCGCCATTACGCACAGAGATCTATACACTCGCGGCTATCCAGACGCCTCAGAGACACAGATCGTGTAGGGCCGAACTCAGTCTCTTTAGACCTTAAGGCCACATTTAGGCCTTTGTTAGGTGTGCGCCATCGGAAGGGCGACCACGTGGGACGAAGTAATCTTCCCCCCCTTCTCTCTCCCTTTCATCCACACGCACGCACCAGGTCTTTGTTAGGTTTGCGCCATCGTGAACGACCACGAGGGTACGAAGCCATCTCCCCTTTTCTTCTTCCCCCTCTCTCTCTCTCTCTCTCTCACACACACACACACACACACACACACACTACATTCACACCCTTCCACAAGCCTTTGCTTGATAATGTTTGTTGCTTAGATTAGTTTATAATAGTTATTTGTTTATTAAGTTCATTGATTTTGGATTGATGTTGCTTTGTTTAAATAAATTCTGTTATAATTTAAGAGAGCAGTTGTTTGTGATTACTGGTGTATTTACATTGTGATATAAGCTGGGTGGAAGGCTTTGTGTACGGATTTCACGCCTTCAATTTATTAAATATAGTTATTCATTATTAATAATATTAGTAATTAAATAACTAATTTGAGACTGATTTGAGTGATATTTTGGTTATATTTACCTGATTACAGGTTGGTGCCCCAAAACGAGATTAAACATAGTTTAATGATATTTTATTTATATTATTAATAATTAAGTATAATTATTAAAGAATATAACCAAAGTTGACTTGATACAACCCCAACAT